TAAAAACTTTTTCAGGCAAAGCAGAATTTATTGCCAGGTGACCAGTACTACAAAAAAAAGTTAAAGTTATTTAGGGCAGAAAGGAAATGATACCAAATGAATGATTAGGTCTGCACAGTGGAGTAAATAGTACCAACAGTGGTAAACATGGACATATAAAAGACTTTTTTCCCACTTTTAAATGTCTTTAAAAATTTTTAATGCAGAAATACGCACTTTATTGTGGAGCTTATAACACTTGTGGAGATAAAATATATAACAGTACAAAGAATGGGAGGAAGTAAATGGAAATACACAATTGTAAATTATAAATGAAATATGCTAATATTCTTTGAAAGTAGACTTTGGGAAGTTAAAGAAACATATTGTAAATCCTAGAACAATCATTTTTAAAAAAAGTTATAAACTTCAAACAGGCTGGTAAAGTTTAGCACACAGACCAAATTTGTCCCACTGCCTGTTTTATAAACAAGATTTTATTGGAACACTGCCATGCCCATTCATTTACATACTGTCCATGATTGCTTTTGCATAACAGTGACAAAACTGAATAATTACAGCAGCATAGCCCTCAAAGCCTGAAATATGGTCCTTCACAGAAAAAGTTTGCCAACCTTGGGCTTAGAAATAAATAGGAAAGATCAGTGGAATGCCAAAAAATGCCCAACTAACCCAAAAGATGGCAAGAAAAAGAAAGGAACAAAGAACAGATGTTCCTTTTTTTCCAAATAGTAAGATGGTAGAATTGAATCTAACCATATCAAATATTACATTAAATGTAAAGGGTCTACATAATCCAATTAAAAACAAAAATTGTCACACCAGTTAAAAAAGCAAGACCCAACTCTATACCATCTGTAAGACTTCCACTTTAAATATTAATGACAGAGATATACCATCCAAACACTAATCCAGGCTTTTTAAAGCAAAAATTTTAACAACCTCTTCTGGAGTTTATAATGGATACAGAAAAGGCAAAACTAATCTATAACAACAGAAACCAATCAGTGGTTGCCAGAGGTCAGGGTGGAATTGACTATGAAGGGAACTTTTTGAGGTAATAGAAATGTTTCATGTCTTGATTGTGGTGTGGTTACATGGATGTATACACTTGTCAAACTCATCAAACTATGCATTCACGGTAATTTTTAAAATGAATACTATTGATTTTTAAAAACAGGAAAACGAGAAGAAAATTTTGTTCAGATATTCTAAACTTTCTAGAAGTTAAGTCAAAGGGAAATTTTCTTGGTCTTTTCTAAATGCTGGCCTGAAGACAAGACTATATTAGATTGGTTTCTGAGCTAGTAGATCTGAGGTGGAACCCAAAATGTTTTCTTTTCTTTTTTCCCTTTCTTTTTAAAACACAGCCAGGCTTGGGAGCTATTTAGTTACATAGATCTCATTGAATTTATTGTAGGAAGTGTGCCAATTGTTCAGGAAGAAAATTCCATTTAGAGTATATAAAAGCAGTATTGTTATCCTGAAATCTCATGTGCATTAATTTTGGTCAAATATACCAACAAGTCCTAAGTCTGAGCTCTCCTGAAGGGCAGGGTCTTACTCATATTTCTTTCCACAACACCTGTGGTTCTCAGAATGAAAAATGACATTTAGAAATGTATCCATTAGACTTCCAGTCAAGATGTAGGCATAGGTAGACACACTTCATCTCCTTGCACAAATGTGAGAAGGATCACAACTAACCTCAAAACAAAAAGCTCCAGAACTGCCAGAAAATCAAACTCTATGGAAGTCTGACAACCAAGGATTTAAAGCAGCCATACTCGTCCAGATGGGTAGGAGGGGCGGCGATGGGGAGCCAGGGTGGAGCAGACACAGTGTGCCCCCAGCAGTGAGGAGCTGGCCGAACGGGAGATCCCATATTGATGTGTGGGGGATAAAATCAGGAGACATGCCTTGGAAGAAAGGCATCCCAACCCCAGTCCAGGCCACGCAGCCCAGGGTTCCAGCACCAGGAAAATAAAGCCTCATTACTTCTGACTGTAAAGTCCAGTGGTGGTTGGCACAGTGGAAGAAACTGCTATCTTCCACCGTAGTCATTTAAAGGGCCCACATGGTCCTAGAACGAACGCAAACCCACCCACTCTGGGAACCACCATCGAGCAGTAGCTAGAAGGGCACCAGTCGCATAAGGGAAGGAGATGAAATGATTGGAAATAGGGCAAGTGCCAAGCAAGCCTTAGTGGCATTGTCCCTCTCTGACTCCTCCCCAACATACAGAACCACAAAGCGGTGAAGCGGATTGTCCCACCCTGATGAATACCTAAGGCTCTCTCCCATACAATTTAAAAAGTACACTAAAACAGGGAGTCAAAGCAGCTCTCCCTAACACATAGAAACAAACACAGGGAGGCTGCCAAATCAAGGAGGCAGAGAAATATGGCCCAAATGAAAGAATAGAGCAAAACCCCAGAAAAAGAACTAAGTGAAGCAGATAGCCAACCAATCAGATGCAGAGTTAAAACACTGGTGATAAGGACGCTCAAAGAATTCATTGAGTACAGCAACAACTTAAAGGAAGAAATGAAGGTTACATTACGTGAAATAAAGAAAAATCCATAGGGAACCAACAGTGAAGAGAAAGAAGCCAGGATTCCAATCAGTGATTTGGAACATAAGGAAGAAATAAACTTCAACCAGAACAGAAAGAAGAAACAATTCAAAAAAAAAACAAGAATATAAGAAGACTCTGGGACATCTCCAGAAGTGCTAACATCCAAATCATCAGGATGCCAGAGGGAGAAGAGGAAGAGCAAGAAATTGAAAACCTATTTGATAAAATAATGAACTAAAACTTCCCTAATGGTCAGATTAAAATGGTTGGTTTGAGGATAACTGGATGACTACTACTTTTCATATATACAATATTCCTGAAAACTAAGCTAAGAGGTGAATGTACTTAAGTCAAACAGGTAAGTTTAAACACGATGTTGGAGAGCTGAAAAAATCCAGTTAAGCTCTTACTTACACTTTGCCTTTTATAATATAATCTAGCAACTTTATGGCTTTATTCTGTCTCTATTGATCCACTTAAATCAAATATGTGTCTGATTAAACCTAAAGATTTGTTAATTTTAACATGCATTGTGATTTCCGGGCAGCTCCTCCCAGGAGTTTAAAATATTCATTAACTGTCTCCATCAGATGGTGTGGCTTAAGAGTGGTTTAAAGGGTATCAATATATCAAAGAGCAGATTGTCGAAAAGAAAAATATTCAAAGTTGAGGGCCTTTAATGAGAATTAGGTTTGGGGAAAAAAGACCAGGCTATGTAGAGTCTAACATTTCTTTCAGTTCTGCAAATGTTGAGTGTCTACTGTGGCTATATCTGATTTGTATGTATTGTGCTAAATACTGGGGCTCATTTGAAAGCACAACTCTATTATTCTTAAGTAGTTCACATTTTGGTTGGGGGGAGTGTCAGAGAATACTTAATTTCCTCCTCAAGGAGAGCAAGGATGCAGTGAAAGTGCTGTATTTAATATGTTGGTGGTATAAGATTAATACTGAAATTGGAGAAACTGAAGACAGGAAGATAGTTGGTAAAAGAGCTTGCACCTGCTTCTAATCAGCGACCCTCCCCCACCCCCACCAAGGGAAGTATGTCAGTGTTGTTATCTGAAGGGCATGCTCCAGAAACATAATCTCTATCTACCCTCTGGTTACTGAAACAGAATCATCAACATGAAAGCATACTGTGTGTTCATGGTTTCCATCATTTATTTTCTCTATTCAACAGATACGTATTACCTGTATGCCCTACACTCTGCTAGGGGTTGAAAACGTAGTCAATAAAAAAGACAAAGTCCCTGCCTTCGTGGAGTTTACATTCTACTGTCTGTCAGGCAACTTTAGCTAATGTATGAGAAAGTACCGAGCGTATTGCCTGTCACATAGTAGGTAGGGTTCAATAATTGTTAATTACAGAGTTTGAACTTGAAGTTTGAATTAGTCTTGACAGGATACTTTGTTGGGACCCTTTTGCAGGGTAGAGGGAAGGAGGAGATTAGCTCATTTGCAGATTTTTTAAATGTTACCATTAAAAATTAAGAGTCCCTTGTTCAGTTTGGGGGTAATTAAGATTATATGTTATGTTAAATATAACAAATCTGTTCCTGACCACTTTTGCAATTGAAGATGAAACGTTGAAGCAGGTGCTGTTCTGCGCTATCAAAAGCAGTGTGCTCTTGTCCTGCTTGGATGATTTTTGTGGGCTTCCTGAATTCCTGAAAAGGCTCATTGTTGTCACTGATGATGCTTCACAGAGACCCTTTGTGTCATTATTTAGCAACTGACTGCCTTGGCGAAAGCTATGTCAATTCTTTTGTTAACTATAACAGCAGTCAAAAATGATGTAAGAGGAGAAAAGGATAAATTAAACAAAGACTGATAAGTGCATGCACACATACACACACCTTTCAGATCAATTTCTGAGTTTCATCTGAAGTAGCATTTGTTACATAAAAACAGGATAAAGCAATACTGCATTTATTTTTTCGTTGTTTTGTTCAGCTCTAATCTGTTACCAGCAAGATTTGAGTGCCTTTTTTCCTTGTTGGCTTCCCTTTGGCCTTATTTTTATTAAATGGGAGTAATAGTTTCATAGTGATAGCAAAATAAGCCCTTTTGTGCAAATCCTTTGCAAGACTACATTTTCTTATCTACCTCCTTTTCCTAAAAGGCCAGGGATAGGTTTGTGGGTGTATTTGCTGTTGGAAGCAAAGATTTTTGACTTTCACTGGAAATAAACCTTCACTTGTATAGAAACCAGAAATAGTTGGAGGTGGAAGAGTTAGGACCTTCCATTTATTTGCCTCCAGATAAAATGCTTTGCATTAAATCTGTTATTAGAATTCCAAGTTGAACAGATGATGTCATTTCTGCAACATAACATGGTGTGCATGTGTGCTTTTTTATTTTTAGAACAAGCACTGTAAGTATGAAATTAGTTATGTGGACTTTTCTCATCCCTTTTTAGATGTGAAGCCCTCCAATATGCTAGTAAACACAAGAGGACAGGTCAAGCTGTGTGATTTTGGAGTTAGCACTCAGGTAAGTCTCTTTCCTCCCCATCTGCTCTCCTCTCCACAACATCCACTTTTTATTTTCAATCTACTCTCTGGATTGAAAAATCACCTAGCTGCCCGACAAACAGAACTCTGCATCTTCTCCTCGGCTGGGAGTGTGTTATTCATTTTTAATCTCCGAGCGAGTTTCCTTCATCAGAATATGATTGTTCATTGTTTAATGACAGTAAAAACTAGCGATATTGTAATTACTACTTACGAATAGCAAACTTCATTGATATGCAGCTTTGATATGAAAGCGTTTTGGCCAGACAAAAGGGAGGGCAGAGTGGGAGCTGTGCCTGGGGAGCCCAACTGGCCCACAATAAAAATTAATATTGGGAGCAACAATGGTGGAGGGCCATTACAATGTGCAGCACAAATTTTAATTAATTTCCATTTTGGGCCTCCCCTGAGAACCCCGGTGATAGTGACCCATGAGCGTGCTGTGATGTTGATTTGAATTGCAGCCACCTTTACTCCCAGCCAAACATGAAGACCAAAGCGAAGGTCATCGTTGTATTATGAGTTGTCAAAGTCTGTTATCCCTCCAGCGTATTTAGTGTTCGTTTCATTCTAGTAATGCGTGGGGCTTCCTTCACATCTTGAGCCATTTGACTAAAAAATGAGTGTGTTCAAATTCTACTTCAAATTGACTTTTTATATATCAGGCGGGTTTGGGGTACTAAAGCAATAAGCATCCTGCTTAAGTGGATTGTTTAAGGTTATCTGCTATAAACTGTAATGCTGTGCTTGTTTAAATTGGAAATCACATTCAAAAGCAAAGAGAGATTTAACCATTTTTAATGCCTTTGTAGATAAATTTGTTCCCTTTTACATAATTTTTAGTTGATTTATAGAAATGATGATTGTAGGTTAAATGAGGAATAATTGCCCATTTTATTTCCACATTATCTTTATATTGTTCTAACAGACTGTTTTGTCTCGTAGCTGGTGAATTCTATAGCCAAGACGTATGTTGGAACAAATGCTTATATGGCAGTAAGTAAACTTATGCAAAAATAACATTTAAAACCAACATCTTTATGTACTTGGTAATGTATAATTCTTGAATTAATTCCACAGCTTTAGCCCAACAGATCATAAATTACAAAGTCAATTCAGTCATGATTCGATTTTTAAACCTTTCTAAAAGACATTAGGATTTATACAGGAGCTACGAACTTATCTGACTTTGTTGACTTAACTGGTCTGCTCAAGTGTGAAATCGCTGAGTTTTGAAGTTTAATCCAATGGAAAAATTGCACCTGATAGCATATTGGCTACTTTACCACACTGCTTATTTAATTAACCCTCCAGTATACCAAATTGTCAGTCAATAAGATTGGTTGTTTTTTCCAGGAATACAAACATACTTTGTCACCAGATCAAAATTAAATTATGGATGTGACCAACTCTTCCTTATGGATCTCTGAATGTAATGGTTTAGCAGGCAGCTCTATTTAGGACTTATACATCTATATTCTATTTATTTGTTGAGTTCATGCTTACTGTAAGATAACTTATTTAGTTCCACTGAAATAAATTTACCAAGAATAAAAACTAGACACATGGAACTATTTCAAGGACCAAAGTGGACTTGGCTTTGACCTTTTTCATACCTTTCAAGAGAGGAAGTTATTTGTGTCCATAAAAATGATTTTGTTTATTGATTTCCACAGCCACAGAGTTGGGGGTTGGGGGAAGGACAGGCAGGAAGTTTATCTAGTATCATTTTTGGAGCAAAGTTTTGTTTTAACATCCTAAGGTTTTGGTGTTTTTTTTAATTGAGGGTTTTATATTTATTCATACAGCCCATTTCATTTCCAGTAGTCTTTTCTTATATATCATAAAGTTAAAGTGTTAGTATGGAAGGAACCCTAGATTTTATTCTCAGTAATCTTTGTTCACATATTATCTTGATAACAAGATCTTAATATGGATGGAACTCTGGATGTTATTCTGAGAACTGTAGTGAGCATTTTTTTTAAATTGAGATACCAGAATAGTTCATTTTTGTCTTGTATTTAAAAAAAAAAGTCTCATTTTTCTAGATAATGTGAAATATATATATAATATATATATACATATATATAACATATATATAGAAACCTCTGAAGTCATTCTGTTTTTATAAAACTTAATCATCCTCCTGGCTTTACCAGGTTAGCTGAAATTGGTGAGCCACCTTTATAATTAACAAAACCCTGCCAAATGCCACAATTTCAGTCTTTGAAAGAATTTGGAATACTGTGATTTAAAGTACAAAAAACTATCAATGAAATAACTGTAAATGAAATACCCATCATGTTCTTAGTAGTTTTAAATTGCTCTAATAATTAAATTGCACTACATTTGAATGTACAAATTCACATCACAATTGTCTTTCCCAGGTGTATATTAAAGAAATTACTTTTTTTCATTTTTGTTTATGGATGAATGTGATGCGCCCATCTGTTAATGAAATGTGAGGATTAAACTTATGAAATGTTAGCTCAGATTGGCAAAGCTAAAATTGCTTTGCTTCACTTCTTGGGTGAGTGAATTCTAGTCATCAACTTTTTAGTGCAAGCTGTAGGACACTTAAGATACTTAGGAAGCAAAGAGTGATAGCCTGATAGTGGGCTTCACTCAGTTCAGCAGGTTCCTGTTAGCCACGTACTTTCCTAGCTGGTGTGAGATCAGTGATTAAGAAGTGGGGGGAGATAGAAATATTTATTCTTCTGTTATGGGTATTTATCCCTGCCTTCTCTCTGCTGACAGTCTCATGAGAGAGAAGAATTGGGCTTTTTTTCTTTTTTTTTTAAACCACAGTTGGTTCTCATTTTAGCTGATCTATTTTGTAACTTTGAGTTCTACGTAAGAATCTCTTCTAAGCATCAGTGAACTACATACAGCTCTCAGGCCAAATTCAGCTCACTGCCTGTTTTTTGTAAAGAGAGTTCTAACACTGCCCTTGCGGGGTAGCTCAGTTGGTTAGAGTCTCATTCCAATACACCAAGATTGCAGGTTCAGCCCCCCATCAGGACACACACAGGAATCAACCAATGGATGCATAAATAAGGAGAACAGCAAATTGATCTCTCTCTCCCTCTCTCTCTCTCTCAAAATAAGACTAAAAGATTACACAGTACTGTACAAACAAGCACACATATGAGTATGTGTAAAACCAGGGAAATCTGAATAAACTCTATAAATTGTACCAGCATCAATTTCCTGGTTGTGATATTGTATTATAGTACTACCATACAATACAATTATATATTGTATATAATACAATATAATATAGGGGGGGTAGGCAGAGACAAATCTATTTGAGAATAAATAAATAAATAATTAGAAAGGAAAAAAAGAATAATTGTTACCCTGTAAATCAACTAATAAATTCGGTCTGTATACCTATTAAAAAAAAAAAACCTCCCTGTATACTGCATATATCTTTTTGACTATTTGTGAATCAATAAGTGTTTCAAAATAAAAAAATTAAATTAAAAAACGCAAGTTTTATTAGAACACAGCCATACCCACTTGTTTACAAATTGTTTATGGCAGCTTTAGCCCTCCAGTGGTGAAGTGGAATAGTTGTGACAGTTGCAGCGAAGACCACATGGCCCACAACGTGACAAATATTTAGTATCTGGCCCTTTACAGAAAAAATTTGCGAAGCTCTGATCTATTCCAGTGAAAGCTGTATCTGAAACTGAGTAATTTAAGTGAGTCAACCAATATTCATTAAGCACCTTCTTTGCTGTTAGGTACAGTGAAACCACTCTGTAATCCACATACGGCATGAGCAAAATAGGAACATGGTATTACATATGGCCGTATTACGTGCGACATAAGAAAGATTTAAGTTATACCAAAAATACATTTAGAAGATAAGAGGCATACAATGTATGAATTTGATGATTCCAGCAGTATGTGAAAATGGCACTTGTAAGGGAGAGATCACCGTGGAAAGATGAGCAATGACTCAGAAATAGAAGGGTATGTGTCATGGGTGGGGTGAAGAAGTAGGGTAGAGGACAAATAATAAATTGTGGATATACATAATTAGAGGTCATCTGATGTAATGCCCTCATTTTACATCCATTGCCCTCACTTTATAATTTATGCATACTTTTATACAGTGACGATAATAGCAAAATAATAGCAACAATTTATACTATGTGCCATTGCTCTTACATATATTAACTTTTTTAAATCCTCACAACAGCCCTATGAGGTAGATAATATTCTCATTTTACAGATGAAGAAATCAAGGGATAGAGAAATTAAGTGACTTACCCATCAGACTCCAGAGACTAAACTCTTTACTGCTGTGCTTCTCACTATATATCTAAATAATTTCTGTGTTGCTCTAAATCTAAATTATGATCTTCACAGGGGCAAGATTTACTCTGCTCATTCTCTATATCCAAACCCTCATAGAGTGCTAAATGAATAAATTCATAAATACTGCATTTCAAATATGACTTGTTCACTAATTATAAGCAAACCATTTTTTTCATATTAAGTATCTTACTTTCATTATAGGGTATAGAAGATCCCCAAATTACTCAGCTACAGATAGCTACGCTGCTCAAACATTGAAAAGAAAATAAACCAAAGAAATAGTCCTTCATGTGCAGATAAGTTTACTTCATTCTCCTATAATCTGAAGTGTAAGATACAAGAAAATGATAATTAGAAAAAAGACAGGGAGGCTCTTCTAAGATCCTGAAGCATTAAAAAATCATAATAGTAACAACACGTGGGCACATTAGGCAGTGACCAGGTAGGAGAGTCATTGAATGATGAGGAGACTGAGGCCTGGGCAGTGAAGTGGTATATTCAAGGGCACATTGCCTTCAGAGGCAGATGGCTAGATTCTAGATATTTCAATCCAAAGTGAGAAGAGTTTTCAACTACATTTTGAAAAGATTTCATTGAGAAGGATTACAGAAGAGATCCAGAAGGCTTTGGGGGCTTTTATTAAATTAAACCATTTTCATACATTCTAACTGCTAAAAATATTACTTGTTTTAAAGAAAGAAGTCTCTAAAACTGTAACCCATTGGTTCAGTCAGTGTGATTTGCTTATTGTAATTTTTAAATTGTATGTAAAAGTTTGCCTTTTTTATGAATAATTTAAGTTTGGTAAAAAACATTTTACCCAAATATTTGTTTCTTGGGATCAGAAAGTCAATCTAAATGACCTTTTAAATCTCCAGAACAATTTTTTCTACCCAGGCTCTTTCCATCCTTAGAAATTACCTTTACCCAAATAAAACCTCCTGTACACATTACATAATCCAACTCTATTGGCCATGCTCATGCAGTGATGGTAGTGGCAGTGGTGATTATTGGAAGAGGCTGACATTTACTGAGCTTCCCACGTGACACATACTGAATCAAGCACATCATATGGATGCATTTAATCTTCACACAGATCCATGAGGAATACATGTTATTATGACTGTTGTTTTGCAGATGAGGAAACCAAAGGTGGAGTTACCCAGAGTCTGAGTTGGCGAGCACTTGAGGGTCAAGATTTAATTAGGACACCAGCTTCCAGTTTCTTGTATTAGAGGTTAGGTTATTTGGACCAACTTTTCTTCTGAAAGTGTTAGTTAAAATAATTTTTTAAACTGTCTCAGATGTACTGAATTTTCACATGGAATCCTGCAATAGAGGAGAAAACGTAATACTGGAGCACCAAAGCTACTTATTCTGGAGGGCATTTTCCTGTACCACAGCTGCACCGTAAGGCAGAGGGTCTTTCCCATGTAATGCTGGAAGCCTTAAGGACTTGCCCTTAGTGTGAGAGCAAACCAGAGCTAAAGCTGCCTCTCCTCTCCCAGTCCCAGGGAATGGAAGAGAAGTCTTCTTAGAAGTAGAAAAGCAGGCTAAAAAAGAAAAGGGGGAAGTTGTAGCCATAGACTCACTGGCACGGATTTGCACCCTGGGTATTTGTGTATGTGACCTGAGTTGGAAAAGGAGGTTGCATCATGCTTAGAGCTTGGTTTGAGGCGGACATTCCCATCTTAGGCCTCAGAGAACCTCTTCAGTATTTTTTTTTCAAGAGTAAGCTCAAGCAATTAGTCAAAGAAAACCAGGCACACAAGGGAACAAAGCAACATGAAGGAGAACCAGCAGGAGCAGTAGACAGAAGAAATAGCTGCACACAGACTTCAGACCACAAATTCAAAGTGGCATAGTAGATTTGAGGAAGTCCCAAAGAAAATAACTAGATAAAAATTTAAATCTTATATTTGGCAGCACATTGGACATAGCAGAAGAGCGAATTAGTGAACTGAAAGACAGATTGTGTTACAGCAGCAGTCTGACTTCAGAACTCTCATTTAACCAGTGTGCCCTGCTACCCATGCAGGGATCTTTTCGGCCTTAAAAAAAATCCCCATAGTTTGATACATATTTTGATTTTATACTAACCGAAAGTATTTTCAAAATTTTCTGAGTAGCTTAATGAAACAGCAGTTCCTGTATCAGAAGAGATAAGGGGTGTGCCTTGGTATCTTCCTGCTTGTGGCAAGTAAACCCTGGGGCATTGTGTGTAAATAGAGGCAATTTTGAAATGAGTTAACTAAATATGGGTCATGGGTAAATGCCAGGTCACAGAGGGTAGCTGTAAGGAGCAGAGTACATATGCCAGCTGAGAGCCACTGTCCTTTAAGATCCTCTGTAAACTCTGCTTTGTATTTTGTCACAACTCCTTACTATTATTGGGAAAAACAGACCAGGGTATTTTTACCTGGACACCGAAACTTCAGGGCAGAGGCACTTCTGATGAGAATTGTATTTTCCCTATTATTTAGCTTTCCACCTCAGAAAGTAACCCAGCTTTAGCTTGCTAACTGCGAAGCGTCCATCACAGATCTTCTACCAGTAGTGTCGTATCTGGTAGTTGGGTTTGCTTTGCTTTAAAGGGGAGAGACAGAGCAGGCCACCTTGGCTTCAAGTGTGAGAACAGCTTTGAATTTTCCAGCCTCAGGCCATCAAGTCCTGGCCTCATAAATCCAGGATGTACTGGGACTTGACTTTGGCTGTGTCAGATCCAGGGAACTAAGCGCATTGCCCAGTCCCTGCCGTCTGTATGAATTGTTTAGGAGAGAACTGGAGAGCTGATTTTGCTGAGCACTGTACTTAAGTGCCGCATCACAACAGTAATCTTGTTTTGTTAGCTTACTGTAAGAGTAATGTCTCCACCGAGAGGTTGTCAGAATCTTGTCCTTAAGGAGTTCTGTTATTTGCCACCTGATATCTGTGACCATTATCACTTTTTTTCTTTTTTAATTTAATTTTTCTATGCTTTATTTTCAGCTAACAGATTGCACTTGTTTGGTAGTTCAGTGAGCAAATGTTATGAATGTGTTTAATATTACTGTTGGTCCTGCCAAAATATTTTGTGTGTGGGTTCCACTTTTTTTCTTTTTTTTGTCTGTACTCTGCCTGAAGTACTATATATTGATAACTGTCAACTAGTGGACTGAAGGAAGGAAAGGAAAGGAAGAAGAGACAAAGAGAAAGGCAACATTTGGTTATTTCTTTAACAATTCTAGAGGATTTTAGGACTTTCATGTTTGCCAGAAGTTCTCAATGGTAATATGTAGGGAAGTTACATTAGCAGAACACTCCAGGGAACATAGAGTAGTAATTAGTTCATACTTAAAATGAAATGTGCAGTAAGCATGTAATGCATGCCTTCAATCAGCACACATTGATTGTGCACCAGCCATGTGCCAAGCATGATACTAGCTATGACATTCTCTTTGCCTCTTAAGAGAAACAGACTAGTAAATGGATGGTTACAACATAGTGTAACAGATTACCATTAAAGTTATGAACAACTTTTTAATGAAGTACAGAGGCAGGAATTTGTAATGCTCCCTGAGGAGTACAGGAAGTTTTCACTAAAAAAAGGTGGCCCTTGAATAGGGCCCATAAGAGAAACATTCACTAAGCAGGGAAGAGGAAGGTAGGTCATTGCCTCTGCAGGGAGCCTGAAAATATTTAGTGACTGGAGCTGAGTGTACCAAAGAATCACCCAGAGAAATTATTTTTTAAAATGAAGATCCCCAGAGCCACCCCAGAGATTCTGATTCAGGAGGTATTTGTAATAAGCACCTCAGGCAGTTCTATGATGGCTAGTCCGAAGACTGCATTTTGAGAAATACCAACTAGATCCATACTAGTGTGTGGCTTTTCTGACTCCTAGCTCTCGGGCAGTTTGGCACACTGGAAAGAACGCTGATATTGCAGTCAGACATACCTGGCTGTGAATCCTGGCTGTGTTCCTGAGCAATACATTTAATGCCAATCCATAGCTCTAGACTTTGGCAAGTCAGTTAATTTACTAAGTCTCAGTTTTTACATCTGTAAAATAAGGGCAATATAAGTAATTTTGGCAGATTTTTATGAAGTATAGAGTATGCAAAGTATCTAGTTCAGTGTCAGGCACACATTGTACTAGGTGGTCATTAAATGACAGCTATTACTATCCTATATTGTGGCTGTAAATTAAACCTCTCTGTGCCCCATTTTTCTCATCTGTTAAAGGGAGATGATAATAGTACCAATCTAATATATGCGTTTATGAATCTGAAGTAAGACATGCATGAAAAGCATTTGAAACAATGCCTGGCACATGGAAATTCTTTAATAAATGCACGAAGATATTGTTGATTTTGGTGATGATGATGATGATGGTGGTGTTACTCCTGTAACCAGCTGGCCAATTCCATATGTACACATCCTAGTATCTACTGAACTCGCAAAAATTGGATAATGGGTTCATTTATATATGAACAAGAAACTTGAGAAATGATGAGTGTGGGGCATTAGGACATAAAGGAAAAAGTGTTAAGGGATTGGAATGACCATGTCTATTAACAGCTGGGAGAAATGGTCACATGATCCATGGCCCTTGGGAAGAATTAGTTTTGATAGGAAAGGGGTTTTACAAATTAAAGAAATAAATAAAGGAAGGGAAATAAGACAATCCATCTTGCTACCTCAGGGCAGGGTTTTATGTAATTTTATGGAAAGTGGTCCCAGGAGAAGGCAGTAAGTACATTGAGGTAGCCTGGTAGGTAGGAGTGGGAAGGCAGCTACAAAGTTTTGGGTCCCTGCTAAGCTGATTCCCCAAGAGGCAGGACTGTACCAGATCACCTGAGAGAATCTGACCCACATCTCCACACCCCTGGTGTGGCTCTTGCTGGTGAATGGCGGATGCCCGCTTCCTCCATCTCCAGGAGAGCAGGCCGACCCTGACCCCAGTTACTATTAAAGGACTTGCATGAGATCCTCTGAAGGATGCTGACTATGGCGGCTGCCAGAAACTCCAGGGGTGGTACAAAGAATACAGTGCTGGCCTGGGGGGTCCAGGAGATGTGGGTTATGATCCCAGCCCTGCCCAGCTTAGCTCTGTAACCTTAGGCAACCATTCCACACTGTGCGACTTATTCATTTGTTCTTGTGGTCATTCAAAAGACCTCTGTGAAGTACCCTACTGAATGCCAAACCCTGGTGGGACAGAGAGATCAGGCAGGCAGCACCCACTTCAGTACGAAATCATTCTTTTGAAGTCGAGACTGTGCATGTACTGACTTTCTAGACCGGGTATTTGCTACACATCTTGAATGGAGGACCTAGAGTCCCACATGGACCATTCAAACTGTTCATTCATATCAACAGACATCCTGATACATGGAATAAAATGTTAAACAGGGGAATCTGGGCAAGGGAAATTTGGATGATCTTTGTATTCATCTTAATCTTTCAACTTTCCTAAAGTTTGAAAATATTTCCGGATTAAAAGATAGAAGATTTAAAATGAAAGAATTTCTAGTGATCCAGACCCATCCCTCAAAATGCAAATAATTGATAACATGTAATGGTGTATAATTTGTCACTCCATAACTAAGACTAGATTTGGAGGGAGAGGACCTGGGTTCAAGTCTTCGTTCATTCCCCAGCCTAGGACTTTGCCCAAATGACTTCACTAAATTGAATCTGTATTTTTTTCACCTGTAAAATAAAGATAAGGTTTTCCTCACAGGGAATTTGTGAGGATTCAGTGAGATCATCATTATATGTAATCTATATGATTTCTATATATTATCTACGTAATATACATATCATATAACATTGCTTTGTTTTTCATAAAGTGCCATGCATATGTTGCTGGCCCCTTGCCTTGGCTGAGCTCAAGTTAGTGTGCGTGACTCCTGGAGGAGCTTACATCAACTCACAAGCTCCCTTCTGTCTTCTTCCAGCCTGAAAGAATTTCAGGGGAGCAGTATGGAATCCATTCTGATGTATGGAGCTTAGGAATCTCTTTCATGGAGGTAGGTTGTTTGTAAATATATGTTTCTATGTATATCTGTAATAATAAGGGGGGGGACCAAAAAAATGGAATTATCTTCTAGAGGGCAGGCCCCTTGTAGTACAGGCTTGCCCCCCTAGATGAGTGTTCTAAGAACCCATCTGTAGCAGTGTTCCAGCTGGTGGTGTTGTGAGAGGCTGTATTCAGCTTCAGTGAATTTTTTTTTCGAAGACTCTTTCAAGGAGTTTTCCCATTTCATGATGGGTGATCAATTTACAAGCGGACTTGCCCACACTGTGCTGAGTTTTCATCAGTTTTTGACCAAAAACATCATGACTTCCATGCCCAACCCTCCCTATTCACCCAATCTTGCCCTGAGTAATGTTTTTTGTTTCCCCAGATGAAAAAATTAAAATCTCCTGTTAGGTATACATATGTGTACATAGAGTTTAAAGTCATAATTTCGATATCCTCACATGGCTTGTGAACCAACTACTCTGAAGTGCTATTTCTCACAGCTCACCTGTATAAAAGTTAATCTAGAGTGCTTCTTAAAAATACAGCTTCCCAGACTCCATCCAAGACAAGTTTAGTTCACCTCTCTAAGAATCTGCATTATTAACATGTTCCACAAATCTGGAGAACCTGTGTTCTTAAAGAGAGAGTTCAGAAAAATTCTCTGGGATGGTAACCTGGTTGGAATGCATATATAACTTCCCAAGGTGATTACTTTAAAGAGTACAACCATACTCATTTGGATGTGTAAGTTGTATATGGTTGTGTAGAAAGAAAAAGGGCCATCTCATTCCAATATAGTCATGTCATATGTTGCAGACGGGTACGATAGATCCAGGAGAGGATAATGGGTTTGTTTTTAACACAATTTAATACTTTACTTTTTACAGCTGTATTTAGAATGGACTTTATCTTAGTATGCTACCTGTAGCCCCACTAGAATTCTGTGCTAGGGTTTCTGTACCGTGACCCTTGATCTATAAGGAAATGCATGTAGTTTATATTAGAAGAACACCTGGATCAATGTGAATTACAGTATTATAGAGTGTGCGTACTCATAAGTGCTTCAAGAATTGTTTCTCACATACATTGACTCAGATAAAGGAGGCCTTTTTAAAACATGCTTTTATTTTTTGGTTCAAGTACTTTTTCTGTGATTTTTGTAATGCACAAATGCGCTGAATTTGTAAGGAAATATCTTCAGACTCAATTCACCGGCACAATGGAAAGAGAGAAAAAAAATAAAGTAGTCAGTGTTTATTAAACCATATTCTTCTACTTCTTCATAAAAGGGCATCTAAGAGGAAATTCGATATGTGTGCATCAGCTTATTGGTTAGCCGTAATGATGGACCAGCGCGCAAAACCACGTCTCCCAGCAGAATACTGATGGGATTGTTCAGTTAGCCCGTTTAGGGGGAAACTAGCGCCTTTAATACGTGGGGCTCAGGCCTTTCAGTTATGTAATTTCCCTTTGCATGTTTTAAATCATTGTCACTGAATGTATTTAATAAATGACCAGATAGAGTGTGGCACAAATGTGAAGTTGCATGATATAGAGATAAGAATCCTAGATTGGAAGACCCCGATAGCAGTTCCAGCTTTACTGCTGGTTTTCTAGGGGCCCTGTGCAAGCCTCATTTGGGCCTCAGCTTCTTTATCTGTAAAGGAATGACCTCTTAAGCCCCTTTCCCGACGACTCTCAGCAGTCTGCTATTGTCTCCCTTTAAGCTGCTGCATGGCATAAACAGTGGGGTGCCCTAGCAAGGAGCAATATGCAAAGGCATAGCAGTACTGTGAGAGCATAACTGATAGATTTAAAAGTTAGAGCGTGTATAAATATGCACCATTCCTTCCTTCCACAGTTCTCTTCCATATATCGAGGTTCTGCTATGCCTGCTGATAGGCAATGCAGATATAGTGGTGAGTGGACACTCCAGACTAAACTCTCATGGAGCTGCATTGGGTGAGGGGTGGAGTAAGAGGAAAAAGACAGAAAACATTTGCTGTTCCACCCATCCATGGATTCACTGGTTGATTCTTGTATGTGCCCTGACCAGGAATCGAACCCACAACCTTGGCCTATCGGGAAAATGCTCCAGCCAACAGATACCTGGCCGGGGCCTGTTTATCTCCACTTTTAGGTGGCCAATGCCTTATCCATTAGGCTACTGGGGCTTCTTATCTCCACTTTTAAAAGAAAAATTCTCTTCCTGTGTTTGCATTCTGAAAAACAGAAACTGTTATTCATTCAGTAATTATTATTTTAGCAATTATCTTGTGCCAGGCCCTGGAGAGTGGTGCACGCAAAGCTGACAAAAGCCTGCCTCTGGCAGAGAAGACAGACACCTAACACCCAGAACAGTGTGATGAGGTCTTCAGGAAAACGTATAGGAAGGACTCTGAGTCCTAGATGGTGGGTGGGTGAGGTGCTTCTCAAAGAAGTTGACAGCTGAGTTGGGTTGGTCTTGAGGGGAGTTTGCCACTGGGAGAAAGAAGGAAAAGATGGAGGAGCCCCTCCCCATCCCCAGCACACTGTAAGGTGGATGTCCGTAAACTCTTTAGGAGAGATCACTTACCAAAATATGCAGGTCTCAGGTAGGCCATTTTACTGCCTATTTGTGTGGATGCCTTCCTCCAAGCGCTTTAACTCAATCAGTTTATTCCTTAAGGTGCTAGCGATAAAGAATAAATGGGATAAAACTATAGGAAACTGAGCAAAGGAGTTTTCCTGAAATTGCACAAGAATGAAAGAGACAAAATGGGAACTAGAGTTTTCTACCTCCACCTAGCACCCCCCAACCCCCTCCCCTGCAATTTCTTGAGCTCATGACCCATCCCTGAGGTTTGGAGATGCAGGGTCAGAAGGTTGCCTTCATTGTTTTAAACCCCTGCTGTCACGAGGTTCACGCCCTGCTTATCTGCCTTATACTGCCCCTTCCCTTGTTAATGTGCCGTCACTGTCCCCATGGGGAGTCATAACAAGGCCTCTCGCCACACTCTTTCATAAAAGATGATGCTACATGCCACTAAAATGTGCCATTTAAAAAGTCACAGACAGGTACATTTGTGCCTTAAGCAAAGATTCTATAATATCAGACTCGGACTATCTTTTATCTAGGGACAGAACTGCCCCATCTCCTCAGTTCAGGATCCCTCTGTAAGATAAAGTGGGTCTCTTCCAGAATCTTGTCAGCTGCGTGTAATATTTGAGGTTGGCCGAAGTAGTATGAAAATGGAAATTACCCTTCAGAAGGGAAAAAATGAGATTATTCAGCTTGACTAGAACATGGAAGAGTTTGGCCCCTTTCTGTGTTTTTGGCTTATGGTTTTCAACTCAGATCTTTAAATGTGTTGTCACTCTCCTCGTGTGGATTAGTTATGTAACCTAAAGGTCATCGCCATGTAGGGAGTTTGGTGGGCTCACTTTGTAACAGGGACAAGAACCCAAGTGGACTTGAACATTTTCCTTGAATCTTCATGACAGAATTAGTATGGAAATGAAAAAGAAAAAAGAAGCAAGACCCACTAACAAGGGTACAAAATTCTTGAAGTAGTACAAACTGGGAGGATTAATCCTGCCCCCAGAATTTTTGACTCTTCTAGAAAGATCGTAATGATTCAGTTGACTTGGTCTATTCACCCTGCTGGTTGCTACTCAAGACTTCAAAGCTAAACTTTAAAATGAAAATGAGTTTGGTACACAGTAATTGCTTTGTTTTACCAAGTTTGAGGATTTTATTTAATTCCTAAGGGTGGGCAATACCGAAAACATTTTAGGGCACAATATCTTAATTTCACGGGCAGCCCAGTGCTTCTTTCTTATCCCACAGTGTCTTGAAGAGGGAGTCCCACTGTTGTTTTTCACTGGTTAGTTATTCCATGTGTATTTTTGTGTCATTTGAGTCACAACATAAATCTGTAGGTGGGAGGAAAACAGTCATATTTGTAAAAGCTAGATCTTTAGTTGGCCCTTCTTGGGTCAAATATAGGTGAATAGTACACCCTTCTCCAGCCTTGCATTTGCAGTACCCAGGACGATGCATATACATTTAAAAAGGCACAAGGCCAGTCCTGTAATGTTCTTAGTATGCTCTACAAGTTCACGTTCTGGCGTGTGATTCTATCTGGTGGGTTACTATAAACCCTGTTAAGATTGGCAGTAAATAACCTGACAGCCTTTTCCGCAGGAGTCACAGGGAAAGCCCCTTCTTTAGCACATGTATTTTGCTCTTTTCAGTTGGGTCCTTGCTCTTTCCGCCTTTGTTTGCCGCCTCTCTCTGACAGTCTCTCGAGTCCAAGACATAGAACAATCCAGCTCGATGTGTTTGGTTAATTGGAGTGTCATCTAGTCCTCTGAGACCCCTCTTCATCATGATCCCTGTTTTATTGAAGTGGTTTGAATGATGTGTTAAATGATGAAAGCAAGGCCCATGGCTTAGAAAATATCTTTAGATAGGTGAAGAATATACTCAGGGAGCCAGAAAAGGTCATTGTCATCAAAGTAACACCATCTTCTGAAGATTTCTGTGGGTTCTCTTATTTCGACACAGAGTTTTTCCTGTGAATTTTAGAATTACCTTTACCAAATTAAAAATAAATCCATGGAATAACTACAGTGCTGTTCACTGTACATGGAATATCATTTTTTTACATCTCTTTAAGATTGAAATACCCATACTTCATGAGTCCAACTCTGATCATTCAGCCAAAAATAATATTTTCTTCTGACCTTCATCTACGTCTTCCTTGTGGCACGTGGATTTTCCACTTTGTATTATAATTACCTCATAGTTCCTTATGATAGGATTCAAATGGATTCTCTCAAAATCTCCTACAGTCTCTAGCACAATTGCACTGCCCTAGTGGGTATAAATTCAAAAAAATCTTTTGGCTTAGTCTTTTTTTCATGCTTTTATAATGGTTTTAAAGGAGCCTTTAACATAAACACTCATAAATATTTGCTAAGTAGATCACAAATGTTTTGTAAATGAAAAGGGGCTTTCTA